TTATTTACTTACTATGTCTGTTAGAACAACAGAACATAGGCACATTACGCAAAGGCGTAATCAAAAGTAAGATACATTTGAAATATCAACGTTTTTTTTTTACCCTGTATAGTCCACCACAACTTTTAGCAATATAATGTGCTAGTAGGGTATAGCGTAGTTATCCTCACACACAAACGTATGCATGCAGATATATGCAATGGCATAGTATAATTTGTATTTTATTACAGTATTAATACAATATCGTAGTTCTACATTACTTTTCTTTAATAGCTTTAAGGCCACCGGAGTAAAGTAGAATCTCAAGGTACTGTAGATACAGTTAACTTCAATTATACTTATAGGTAGGTGTGATTTATTTTTTGTCCACGAATAAGTTAAATAATTTTAAAATAAGTAATAATATTCATTTTTTCTATACAGTTTTTGTAGCCCAATTTAAAGACAATTTATTGAAATTGTGAAATAAACATTATTTTGATTAAAAAAGATACTAATATAATTTATGATACATCATTCCTGTCGTGCTTGGATACATTATTTTTAGTAATATTTAATTAATGCTGGCTTGCATTTGTCATATGTGATTAAAATGTCACATTCAATCATTTCATTGTTATTTAATATAGTAATTTAATTTAATGTTATAAATTCGTGACAACTCAACTTTGTCATTTGTGTTTTATTTGAGTAAATATCTTCATAAAATAACGTTTTTCTTGTGCTTTTGGCTCATTTTTTTTTCTTTTTTTGTCAGAAACTAATTTTGTAATACGTTTCTTTCTTTTTTTCCCATAATTTTCTCTTTCCAAGTTAATGAAATATTATGGGCATTTCTCCCCTTTCTCAACTCCAAGAGCTCGTGAAAAAAGTTATCGCTATGGCTCCTATCATTCACAGAGAAGCAGACATTATTATTTGTATTAGGATTCATATAACTTCTACAAAACATGTCAACGAACATTTATTTTGTGATCCAATCATTGTATACTTAACTTGGTTAATACCATTTTTTATTCTTTATGTATGTGTGTAAGATCTTCCAAGTTTTCTCACTTTAGCGTTGATACATATAGCAGGCGCTATCGAAGTATCCGTTTGATTTGTTATATAAGCCTATTAACAAATTTGTGTTCCGCAAGTCAACCTTCACTGATTATACATCAATTTTTCATTGTTTTTACATTCTATTTCAAAATTATTATATAAACCGTCACTTGTAGAAGCGGTTGGCGCATCGACCTCGAGGTCGGGGCTTCGAAACTCTCGCTGTGCAAATCGCTTGTGTCCTTGTGCAAGGCACTTTATCTACAAAGGTTGCCTCTCTCCACCCAGTAGTACAAGTGGGTACCTGGTAGGTTCGAACACAACTGCGCTGATTATTAGCTGCAATATTATGGAATTCTCCCCAGGGAGCTGAGTATGTGTTCCATATGTGTTTGATCCAATGACTGGGGTAGTAATGTAAAGCGCTTAGAGGCATTGTGCGTGAAGCGCTATATAAGAGTATTATTGCCTCTATTTGTTTACTCATAAAGCAATCATATAGACATAAATTGGGCGAAAGTCTTCAAGATCATGGCTGCTAATGTCTCGAATAGCTATCATCATTTTCAAAATTTTGCACCACTCGAGACACTTTCAAAAGGAACTAAAATCACATCCGTCATCATTAGATTTATTATGCTTTAAAGAATCATCATCATCTGTATTATTTATTAATGTTTTGCTCGTCGTCGTCATCATTAGATTTATTATGCTTTAAAGAATCATCATCATCTGTATTATTTATTAATGTTTTGCTCGTCGTCGTCATCATTAGATTTATTATGCTTTAAAGAATCATCATCATCTGTATTATTTATTAATGTTTTGCTCGTCGTCGTCATCATTAGATTTATTATGCTTTAAAGAATCATCATCATCTGTATTATTTATTAATGTTTTGCTCGTCGTCGTCATCATTAGATTTATTATGCTTTAAAGAATCATCATCATCTGTATTATTTATTAATGTTTTGCTCGTCGTCGTCATCATTAGATTTATTATGCTTTAAAGAATCATCATCATCTGTATTATTTATTAATGTTTTGCTCGTCGTCGTCATCATTAGATTTATCATGCTTTAAAGAATCATCATCATCTGTATTATTTATTAATGTTTTGCTCGTCGTCGTCATCATCATATAACATTGTGTTTATATTATAATATAAACATCATGATCTTGAGGAATCAGCTTCATCGTTATTAATGTTTTTGACCGTCGTCGTCTCCTTCTTACCATAATTGTTATTGATATTATATATTAACATCTTCATAGTCTTTAGCATGGTTCTGTCATCATCACTAACCTAATTGACTTTGAAAAAAGGGAACAACCTATACATTTCTATTTTAAAAATAATTTTATTTATATATCATCATAACAATTAATGTTAAGGTATTTGTTATACAAATGTCTTATCAAAGTATTATTGCAACATCACAGCATTACAATTAATGTTCATGTATACATTTTTATTTAGGATATTTGTTATACAACATGTTTTAATAAAGTAACGCTTTAAAATAATGTACAATAACTGTTATGTACAATTATCAGGAATATTGTTTCACTATTTTGTATCGTGCACAAACCTATATAATTTAATATTTTATGAAATAAAAATGCTACATAATTTTTCGTGTAACTTTAAGCTTATGATGAACGATATGAACAACACTATATACACGGTTTACTAATATCACATCGGATATATTTTACACATAGATTAACAATTGAACAAAACATAATCACAGTCACAGAGTTCGATTTAGTCGCAGTTATGTTACACACCACGATCTCAAACATAGATGGTCACCTCTGGCGGACTATCAGGACAGCGAAGACACTCTTACTCTGCAGCCTTTGGTTTAAGAAGTTCATCGACAGAAAACATCTGGCATTTCAGGCTCAATGCTACAGGTTTAAAATCAAATGCTCTTGTGGCGCCATATCCCAGTCGTGTTTCGTGTTCTATCTTCGGTACAAAGTATGTTCATAAACCGTCTAGTCAGAATGTCTTCATTGTCCCGATAATCCGCCAGAGGTGACCATCTATGTTTGACATCGTAGAGTGTAACGGAACCATGACTAAGTCTACCTCAATATAATTGCCGTGTTCATGAATTGATGGGTAAATGGTATGAAATAGTGAAACGATATTTCTGATAATTGTACATACAAGTTAGTGTTTATATACACTATTTTAAAGCGTTATTCCTCCATGCTTTGATAAGATATTTGCATAATAAATATCTAAGTAAAACAAGTAAACATGGACATTTAATGTTATGAAAATTATTGGATGTTGTGATAATATAAATAAAATTATTTTGAAATAGAAATTTATAGGTTGTTCTCTTCTTTTTGTAAATATTTCATAGTGAACTACGTCTGAGCTAATGATGAGAGAACCATGCTAATGATAATGATAAAGATGATGATAATATTAACAACAGCAATTATGATAATGAGAAGGACGATCAAATTGATAAAGACGATGTTGATTATGATCATAATTATGTTATGATTATGATGATTTATGCTTATGAATATAATATGAACACAATTTGATATGACTTATAATAGACAATTGTAGGAAAGTAGTTGCACGCAACCACCAATATTAGGGAGATTTGCGCACGATGACATAACCCTAGAACAGATTCACTCGACCGTGTCCACTCTGTGATCTCTGCACATCGTAGGCTTAAAGTTCTCGCATGTACAGATGCCGTCATTGCGTTCCATGTCCTACCACCATCGTGCAAACGAAATCTTCCTAATTATTAAAGTTCTATTAAACTGTGCACTTTGCGCAATAACGATCGTTTCACTGTGTAATACCTCTCAAACTTCGAACGACACAAAGTTCAGAATCATTAAACATCACACCTGAATCATTAAGACAAAATACATTATGTAGAGCCTTTTGATGCTTCATGCCACACAATAAAAATAATTTTATAAGTCTTTGGGAGTGAAGAACTGATTATATAGCGACTCTTTATGCTTTATGCCATAAAAGTCGCTTTAAAAGTCTTTCAGATGACAATAGACAAGTCTCAATAAATCCAGACTAATATTATTTTCAGCAATAAAATTTATTCCATTTTTAAGTATGCTAATTTACATTTTTTACAGTGGTGGGTATCACACAGTGATAAAAGAAGCAATTCAACAAATTGTTTATCATTAATTTCAAGTGAATGCAGTCTAGAAAAATAAATTGTACACTATCTTTTACAAACATCATTAGATGCTAATGCTCAAATCTAGTTTTATTACTATATGCCTATAAAAAATGCACCAGATTTTAGCATACGCACTACCGATTAACTCATGTCAAGAAATGGTGGGAATATAGCTATATCTGCAAACCCATGAAACATTAAAATAAAACTGGAACAAACTAGATTCATCCAGTTTTAGCCAGCTTACACATTACCGATTAGTTCATGTCAAGAATTGGTGGTATAAATATACCTATACTTTATTGGCAAACCCTTAAAAAATTAAAAGAAAACCAGAACAAACTAGATTCATCCAGTTTTAGCCAGTTTTATGTAATGTGTTCTAACTGGAAACACCTTGCATAACTCAAGCCACAATGCGCTGTTTTGTAAAATGTATTCTGCTTTTTTTTTTGCCTTAATTTTGATTGGAAGCAAGCTTGAGATTAGCCAGTTGACAGGATTTTATTTATTGTTCTTTCAGTTTGGTCTGCTTTCTACTGTTGTACAATTCTTGCCATCGGGTCTTTGTAGATTTTCAACAAAATTGTCTTTCTGATTCCTTAACAAATTTACATCATCTCTGAAGTATTATGCCCAGTTCTTCAAGCTTATGCATTCTGACAAAAAACACAAAACATAATTAAAAATAGCATTAGTGGTGTAAACCAAATCATTACTACTGTTTCTAGATGGCGGAGCAGGCAGGCTGAACTGTCAGCCAAACAACCAACTATCAACCAATCTACTTGGAGAGCATGGCATATCAGTATCCTCTATAGAATGAGATACATCAAACACAGGCCAATCAACTGGAGCTCCTGGTGCTTGATGAAGCAATTCTCTTTGGAATAAAGAGCTGATCATTTGGAGCTCTTGATGTTTTACAACTACTGTAATTGATTGCCATTTGGTGACACTTGCTCTACAACCCTGTCTCTTTTATAATGCTTTGGGAGTGGAGAGCTGACGATTTCGAGCCTCTTGACGCTTCATGCCATACAAGAAGTCATTTTGAAAGTCTTTGGGTGTGGGGAGTGGAGAACTGAATATTTAGAGCCTCTTGATGATCATGCCATTACAAGAAGTCATTTTGAAAGTGAAAGAAAGTGGGGAGTGGAGCCTTTTGATGCTTCACGCCATACAAGAAGTCTTTGGGAGTGGGAGCTGATTATTTAGAGCCTCTTCATGCTTCATGCCATACGAGAAGTCGTTTTAAAAGCCTTTGAGAGTGGTATTGTGACACAATATGGGCAGTGGCATATCTAGGGTATTCGTTAAGATATACACCTCAACCCCACACCACCCCCCTCCCCCCAAGTGCCACCAGCTGAGAAGTTAATGTGCAAAAAAAAAACAAAAAACAAACAACACAAAATTGCACTCATTTTCTCATATACAGTAGTGCTTCCTCAATATTTTTTTTATCACACTGCAATTAGTAAACCATTGTCAAGAGAGGACTCCTACCTTGCAATATCCATGCCGTTGAGTTGTTTAATTCTAGCCAACGCCGATGCGTTATGTTTACTTAGTTCAGACAGCATCGCCCCATAAAGTGTCCGAAGATCAGGCTGTACATCTGCGATATACAAAATTTATACATGTTTAATTATAATCTTGATAATAACTAGTAAAGTTGATTCTCCATAGCGAAGTCACTTTCACTGAAACACTTTGGCAGACACAGAGAGGGTGGCAAAAAGGGGTATTCTAGTATTTTATGGCTTAAAAATAATAATATTAAAAATATAGTTGAAATTACAGCCATTTAACATCAGCTCTACTCAGTGATTTTATCCCAAGACCCTGACCGAGGCTCTAGCCGCCCCCCCCCCCTTGGTTCGGACCTCCCTGTCAGACATGTCAGACCCCCTGTCGACAAATTTCTAGAGTCACCACTGGTTCTACTACTATCTAAATATACAAAGTAAAGTATAAATTTATTCACATAAAATATTACTCACTTTTACAATTACATAGGATTTTTGCAGCCTGATTTATCATTTCCGTTTCAAAAATAACATCTGATAACCAGGGCACCAATGAGATACATGCAGTCAGCACTGTTAAAAAACAATGAAAAAAAAAATTTAAATATGCATAAAGAAATGATGAGACAAAAAGAAAAAAGTATCCATAAAAGAATAATATAAAATGGGTAACCCCTAACTCGTGTCGAAGTCTCAAAGCACTGGATGTGTGGACTAGTTCGCACAGTATACTTTGACACTTTGCTCTCACCAACGGTCTCTCACCAACGGTCTCTTCGTGTCTGAGCTACCAGGTAAATCGGTACCGGCTACCTCTGGTCTGTCCACAACAGGGGCTGTATGAACCAGTACACCAGGGTAACCCCCAACTCGTGTCGAAAGATGTACTGGAATCTTTATAGTGCACACGAGCCATTGTGTACACTTGGCCTACGGTTTATAGTCCTTATCCGAGAAGACTTGTTCCACCACCAAAACTATAGGTGAGCGTGCCGTTCGAAATAACGCAGATGTTATGGCTGCAAGTTGCCGCGCCCCTGCCTTCAACGCCTGGCCATCCAACCCGCCATATAATTGTTATTTATGCGTTATGGAACTGACGACTCCAACCCCCAACATTTTACAAATAATTATTATAGTTATTGTAATTTTATAATCATTCATACTAAAATTAAATATTGTTAAAGAAATGTAAATAGGCAATGAAAAAACAAGTGCATTGTGGAATTTTCTTTTGGCCTTAAATATCATAAAGAACATAATGTGATGCAAACATTAATAATAAATTCATGTAATTTATAGGTATCCGTATGTTATTTAAAAACTACTGTATCATCATAATTCAGAAAGTGTGGTCCGGCCAATTATTATTATAATTTATTTATCTTTTCCTATTTTCATCATTTATTTTATATTTTTCCATGTACTGAATATTAACAGCTGAGTAAATTACCCTTAAAAATGACTCGGAAAGATTTGTTGGAACAAAAAAAAAAAAATAAAAAAAATATAAGGTTTTTTATTTTAATTTTTTTTTTAGAACCAGAATTTATATGGCGCAGCCCATGAAATTAGGAAAAAATTAGGTAGGCAAAAATTTGTCGACCTTAAATTCTCCGAGGTCGGCAGCCTCGGCAATTTTTTACTACCTAGGCCTATATAGTACAAACTACGATTTTTCCGAACGCTTGACCTGACATCGTCATCTACAGATTGTGATTTTGTTAATTTCTCTTAAATCAATATATTGCTGATGAAAGAATGGTCGTACTTGTATTAATTTAATAGTGTAGTATAATATTATGTTTTACATAAGAAAATCGCCAAATAAATTTCGTTATAGCGTTCATTTTATCGTTATCTTTGGCATGGGAACTTTCGTAAAAGCTACGATCGTATCATCACAGCATCACAGGCTGCTTCAAAACTGCCCATGCATGTCCATGCGCATGTCCAGAATGATCTATCAGGAATTTTCCACACATGTACAGTACTTGTCAGTAGTGAATTGCACGCAAGACTAGTAATTCTCCCCAGGATAACATATTCAACTTTTGTCGAATAAAGTAGAATTAGAAATACAAAGTCTACTCTCTCTGAAATTGGTGTGTTGGCCCTTGACACGTTACTTGTCAGGGCTCACTGTCCAAAAAAAAAGTCTTTCACAAAATTTGGTAGCAGCAACATCACAATTGTAGTGCATAGCATTTTTTCTTTTGTCTTTACCTGCTGTTTTCTTTTTTCTCTGTAATTAGGAAGCTCTCTGGCACAACTATTTCATTCATAAAAACAAATACAACATCAATGCATTAAATCGATTACTTACCTTGCAGTCCCAAATACCATAGCTCCATGATATCCTGCCAAAATGGCTGATAATGCTCACTGACTTCACACACGCCCTTTCCAACAACAGCATATGCACCAACTATAAACTGCACACTGGTATGTATAAAGACTTTCAGCTGGTCTGAACAGGAGAATTCTGGGTGGAAATAATAAAATGAGTATAAAAACTACTTTTGATTGGTCATATTCATATAATATTATTCTGTGATTGGTCAGTGTTAGCTGAACATTGCATGATGGGAGAATTTGGAATTTGTTTTGATTCAAACCTGTGTGTTTTGCAAACTGTCTCAACAGCATCATGCCCAGGACGATCATGTTGAAAGAAATCACAAGATAATCCAGCCCTATGAAAATATTGAGAAAAACAAAAATGTTACAAATCGATTTGTTATTTACCAAGAGGCTTGCTATCCCAAGAACCAGCATACTGTTACTAATTGTTAAATTGAGTAATTATAATAAGAATTTGGCAATGGCAGTATTCGACTGGTCGTTCTTTGTTAAAACACGCCCACCTGCGCAGTGGTACAACCCTACTTAACGAAGAAGACCAATCGAATAGAAAACTGGTAAATACTTGACAATACAAAATGGCTGCATAGTTACCGCGATACACGCTGCGTAATCAAGGCTGCTTCGGATTGTGGCAGTATGGGTTTTTCGTAAAAAAATATTTTCATCCAGTTTTTGAATTCTGTTAGCCTACAATTATTTTTTGACTTCATTGTGGGTAAATATTATAATTTTTATTTTCCGAAATTTAATCTAAATTATATTAACGCAAATGTTGTTGCTAAACTGACCAATCGGCCATATTTTTTTTGGTCACATGCAAAATTTAACACTGATTAACACATTACATTCTGGTTACGTTAACTTTGTTGTCAACAAAATCTATTTTACGAACCAGTCGAATGAAAATAATACTAAGCGAAAATTCGTATTCAACGAAATGAACCAGTCAAATAAGCCAAAAAATTAACACAGAGGAGCCGTAATACTTTCACTCATAACTTTAGCAATAGTTAAGTCGATTCCAGTAAATGAATATGAACATATTATATGAATATAATATTAAAAAAAAGTTTTGGCATGGCAAGCCCCATATGTTTTACATACAGTACGTAAGTAATATTAATATTTAATTTTTTATATTAAATTTTAATATTATTTGTTATGTAAATCTCCAACCATGACCATTACTACTTTATATTTTATATACTTTTATTATTTATTTATCATCAGGCTGGTTTGATTCCATTAGTGTACAAAATAAACAGTATACATTTATTCAAGAAATTAAAGCTATAACTAAACACGAACGAAGATAAATAAAATCTCTGCACTGCGCACCAGCAATGAATAATGGAATCCAACCTGTGAGGCCAGCCAGCAAAATTCTTGACTACAAACATAAAGATGTTAACTAGAATTACTCCTTTTACGTATAAAAGCATAGCCTACACGTGGGGCAATTATTCTCCAGAATGTTAAAATCTTTGAATTCTGAAAATTTATGATAAGCATATGTGGCAAAGACAAGCCAAACCAGTCACTCGTCGCAAAAATCGATTTTGAGTTATTAATACAGTGTTAGAGAGTAAAATAATAGCTATAAAATGGTAAAAAAATCATTCAAATGGGACATCTCCTTATTAAGTTACAAGCGTTTAAACATACAGCTGTTTAAAGAACAATATACGAGAAATCAGCCTTCAAAGTTTATGATTTCAGGCATTTCTCATGCAGAAACGATTATTAAATCCTTAAAAAGTGTTGTTTTAACATTAAAAATGGGGAAAATAACAGCATAGAATGATGTATAGATATGTAAAGGTTAGTTTAGAGCAATAAAATAGATTTTTTTAAATTTGACATTCCAGCATGTTTTGGCCATTTTCTCTGAAACAGGATTTGCGACGAGTGACTGGTTTGGCTTGTCTTTGCCACATATTGAGTTTGTGTTTAGAATGTTAAGTGTTGTGATCCATAAGCTTGTGGTGGTAACACAATGCAAATGCACTAAATCATTAATTATTAATTTTAAAACCAATCGGACATACCAAACTTTAGTTATCGTAGTAACAATTTACTACTGACAACTACAACAAAATGAATAAAAATAGCACAGGTATAAACAAAAGAATTTCTGCAGCTTCACTCATTAGGGAAGGCTAATTCTTAATTAATTCAATGCTTACCTAGAGTTGGTAATGAATTCAATATAAGACAGAATAGCTCATCAAACACCTGTCGTTTTGTGATGATCTCCGGTTCCTCAACCGTTATGTTCAAGAAAATATTGCACAGTGTGGCAATAGCCATCTATTAACAAATAAAAAAACAATATGAATTTAATAGCAAATTATAAATTGTTGCATAATGGTTTTGGATATTGTTGCTATGCCCCGCCCCATTGTGATGTCACTATATTTCTTTCAGAATATTTTTACTACCCACTATGCTGCAATACTGTATTTTGCTACATAATTATTGCCTGCCATTGCTAAGCAACTACTGCCCAACCAAACACTTAATTTTGACAAGGTGACATTTACAATTAGCAGAAATTGTACTTGTAAAGTGGGAGATGAAACAATAGTTGAACAGTATCGTTTTCTAGGCATGCAAGCAGGTATAACTTAAAAACATGCTATACAAAGATACTCTTAATATAACACAAGCTTGGGCAAAAGCTGTTGCTTAAAGTCCTAGTCTCAGACATAGACCCTTGTTTTCATACACAGCAGTATTAGCCCTATCGAGTCTTGAGAATGCCTTTCGTAAAATATGAAAAAAAAGCAGATTTAATCTTATGGCGGAGGGTGATTTCATTTAATTTTAGGATTAGGCCTACGCCAGCTGCAATGTTTTTGGAATTTAGCCTAGGCCAAGTATAGTCTAGATGAAACAACAGATTGATTTATATACAAAGCAATTCATTAAAAGTTATTTCAGACTCTGGAAAATAATGACCAGAAAGAGCCAATATGGCCTCAATAACTTTACAATTAATTGAATATTATTACAATTATCCCCAATTTTTTATATACCAATCATTAAAAAATTATGATTGTAACAGATTGATTTATAAAAAAAAAAAGCAATTCATTTCAAGTTATTTTAGACACTTTTTGGAAAATAGTGACCAGAAAGAGCTATTATTGCCTGTAAACATTTTATATAGGCCCTTTTCCCCTCACAACTTTATCAGCTTATTATTATCAATATCTCCAATTTATCAATCATTAAAAAAATATATAATTGTAACAGTTTGATTTATATATATAAAGCAATTTTAGATACTTTTTGGAAAATAGTGACCAGAAAGAGCTATTATTGCCTGTAAACATTTTATATAGGCCCTTTCCCCCTCACAACTTTATCAGCTTATTATCATCAATATCTCCAATTTATCAATCATTAAAAAAATATATAATTGTAACAGTTTGATTTATATATATAAAGCAATTTTAGATACTTTTTGGAAAATAGTGACCAGAAAGAGCTATTATTGCCTGTAAACATTTTATATAGGCCCTTTTCCCCTCACAACATTATCAGCTTATTATCATCAATATCTCCAATTTATCAATCATTAAAACAATATATAATTGTAACAGATTGATTTATATATATGAAGCAATTCATTTAAAGTTATTTCAGACACTGTTTGGAAAATAATGCTACTACTTGGGGATTGGATTCAACACTAGTCACTAAGTGCAAGCTCGGTAGTCTAGTCGTTATGGTGCCAGGCACAGTTCTGGGGGTCGTGGGTTCAATTCCCACCCTAATCTCTTGCAAATTTTTTTGCAAGTGTTTGGGAATGTACTGAGTCCTATGATAATTCCTGACGTGAACTCACATCAGGCATCATATTATTACTATGATATTTGCAAATGCAAACTCACATCGATATAACAATTATTTATTGTTACAAAGGTTAGAAAATTCCTTCATAGCGGTTTAGCACGGCGGGAACAGTTTGTGCATTTCGCTTGAGTCCTTTTCTCCACCCAGGAGTATAAATGGGTACCTGGTGGGGTTGCCTGCTTCGCGCCAAGATGGCAACAACACTTACGCATGTGGAACCATTGACCAGGGAAAAATTTACAGCGCTTCATATCTGTAAAGAAAGCTGGCGTTATATAAAAGACCAGATTAGATTAGATTAAGATACCTCTGAATCTTCTGCTTGCTTGCCTTGTTTTAAAAGCTGCCACTGGTAGTTGAAGTATTGCAGGAGGAGCTCCATACAGTTATGTTCCACCAGGATTTTGCGCGGGATAGGCTCCACGCTCAGGTGACACAGGCCAGGCAACAACAAGCGCAGGAGGTCAGTACGACTGTCTAATTCACCGACATTCGGTGAAGAGCATGTCACAACCTCGTGAAATGATTTTGTCCTGAAGATTAGAGAAAATGAAATTAATATAATATCCCTGATTAAGAATAAAAAAACAATTGGGTGGGTTTCTTCCCGCAGGTGCGCGTCCTAGTGTAAAAATACTAGCCTAAAATTCATCGCAGTGCGCGAGATGTACAAGTTGCATTGGTCTTTTGCACACAAAACCTAAAAGTTCAAGCCAATCATGCACTATATGAAAATGGTGCACTGTTGGAGATAGGCAAATAACATTGCAAGTTGCAGTGATGACGTCACAATTCACTTTTACAAGTACATTTATATACTAAAATATTATTCTGTATCGAAAATATTTGCATTGAAGTATAGTATTCTATAAAAATTACATACGAGATATGGATAAGAAAAGGAAGGATCTCATTAACTCCTTCCTTGAGTGCTGATGTTTCCTCGGCCAACCATGTGCTAAATACACGCACTGATGCTTGCACAATTGGATCATCAACCTAAACAATAAAAATATACGAGAAAATTAATTGCTATAATCAACTCAAAAGGCAGCTGATGTTTTTTCAGTGAATCGGACGGATGATTGGTTAATGGTTAGGATCTGTCACTAAATAATCGAAAGAGTTGACCCCAGTTTATCAAAAAATCGGGAAGTCTTCCCAATTAAATCAGGACCAAATATATAATGTAGCAATTACTGTAGCAATTTTATGGAAACCAGGTTTTATTATCATAATCACTATTGTTGTTATCGTTACAATCATTATCAGTATCATTATCTTCATTATAAATAAATTACCTTTTGTGGGTCCGCTTGCACATTCTTCAGGTGAAAGATAATAGCACCAAACGCTCCAGTCATGGCAGCGTGTAGTTGAAGGGTCTGCTTCTGGTCCAACCCCATCGATGGGCCTACCATCAGGAACTCAATCACATTCTCTAGTACTTTATAACATGCAGATAACACACCAGCCTTCTCTCTTCTCTATGAAATGAATTATATTTCTTGCATGAAATGTGTTTAAATAACGTACATAATGTTGGTTGTGTACTGGCCAATTCTCCATAACCGCATTTGTCTCAAATTTGGAGACGCCTTAGACATTGTATTGCAATGATACAGTGATACCCATATAGTTAGCTATTTTCACAAAAACTATTAGTACCAACTAGTGTGGGAGGTCATACAAATCTCCAGGAGACACCTGCAACTATCAAGTGAATTGAAACCATTTGAACCCTTGCAACTGGGACCAATTGATTCAACATACTTTACTTATTACCATCATACCCACAAACATCATCACCATAATCTCCATCACTATGTAAATCATTGCCAACATCACCTTTAAACTTCTTTCCAACTTACCTTCTCCTCCGTGGCATTTTCCAGTACCATCCTGACCTCTATACACACCAGGTGGACCATGAGGAGCAGCGTCTTAGTGTCGTCTTTGGTTGGACCTAATGCCCACTCCACTCCGCATGTTTGCACCATACCAGCTATCAAGGTTAATTGTGAGTCCCTTTGTGATTCATCTGAAATCATATTAATATATTAATTAATCAATTAATAAATCATCAATCACACAAGAGTAACAGTGGCAGAACAAACAGTCCTGGGGGCCCCTTGCTAAGGCTTTTCTGGTCCTACTAAATGGAGGGTTGGGTTCGAGAAGAGCCTGGGGTTCAGGTAGATCATTTGGTTATGGTGCACAGCTCGTCAATTTCGGTATTTTTCATGTTTTTTTAAACACATTCTGTTCCAGAAAAAGCCCCACTCTGCTAAGCCGATTTGCAGCAAATAAAATATTGATGAGCCTCCTCGGCTCCTAAAGGTCTGGCTTTAGCCAGTGAACTGTTACACCACTGAACAGGAATTCTTAAACCAATTTAGACAAAGATGGAAAACACAAATAAAAGAGTCATCGTTCTCCACATCATCACATAAAATTTGCATAAATATACAATAAAATTAGAATGACATTTTTGTATAATCAGGTATCGATTTGTTGCATCAGAAGTTTTTAACTAAGTTTTACTAGTTTTATAGGAAAATTTTAATCATCCCCAACTCATCTGAGCCAAACTACTCAACACCACCCCCACCCCCCACCAACCACACCCCCTATAGAAGTCTTCAGAAAATCCTTTTGGGCCTTCATACATTTAACTAAAAATGTCTTACTTAATTTATTCCGGAGTAAATCTGAAACACCTCGGAAGACATTGTTTCTCCAGGATAACGGGAAGTCTACAATCGATCCTGAGTATTCCAGGATCAAACTCAGCTTATCACATAATTCGAACTTCAGCAGCTCCTGTGTTGGGATATGAATATCCATAGGGAATTAGTACCGTATATTCTCGCATATTAGACGAGGCCTAAAATAGCAAATTACAATAAAAAAAAATGGGGTTGTCTTATACGCACAGCATACAAATTGTAGATTTATTAAATCATGTTTGTCTTATGTGCAGATCGTCGGTAACTTGTGAATTTACTATTGCAGTGAAGCTACTAAATATATTATAAATGAATGCAATTTTAAATACAAAGAAAACAGATTTTGATGAATATTTGAAAACTCACAAAATGGTATTATTTTGGAAGATTAGCTTTGCATTTGGCTCCGTTTTTAGCCAGCTAGATGTAGTATCAAGACCATATAAAAGAACATAAAAAGTAGAAATTCCAACGATAAAACAGGGAGGTCATACGCCCAACATACAAAAATCATCAAAAAATCTTGTCAAATTTAGTTGTCGTCTTATACATGGGTCATCTTATATGCGAGTATGTACGGTAAAGTTAAACAAACATATGGTATATATTTTTATAGTTATTTCCAAGTTCTTTCCTGAACCTCTAGGATGCGAGTTCACATTCTGGTGACCACTGCCAGAGAGTTTATGTGCAGTACAAATAGTGATATGTTTGGACATGTGTGAACAAGAACTCACAGCCTCGGACCCCTGAGTGAACCCTGTAAGACGTTGAACTTGCGTCCCTGGCAGCGAACGTGTTAACTTAATCTTAATGTTTGTATTGTAAATGACCATTTTTATATAAAGTTATTCTTTGTCAAGGGCCTCTTAAAACTGTCTCATACAAATATGAATGAAAAAACACTTTCTATTGCATTTATGTAATCTGCCTCATTGAATAACTTTTTAAACGATATAACAAATATACTTAAATTATTATAATGATAATAGAGATGGTGATAATGATGTCGATGGCAGTGTGGTAATCATTTTACCAACATAGGTGAGTTATGGTTTCACAACAAACCCTAGAAGCCAATAGCCTTAAAGTACAAAAATCAAGAAAAAATTCATGACTGAACAATCCCTATTTCCAAAATTGTATGTGAGAATTATTTATAAAGAGCTATTCTCACCTGGCTATCTGCAAACTCTTTACTCAAGTTTTCCAAAAATTGTACAAATGAGTCCTGCTCACGTAACCAAGCAAGCCTTCCGCCAAGGTGAAACAGATAAATTAATACTTTAAAAGCTTTCTCCGCACCTATTCAAGATGAAAAATAATAATAAAAACAATTAGCAGAAAACGAATCCCCCGGTCAAAATTCATGAAATTACAGGGTGTTGTTTTTATCAAATATTGTTAACATAATTGACATATCGACAAGGACACGAAGCCCCGCCCACAAAGTCACGAAAACCTTCTTTGCTATCAACCTTCCTTAAGAAAAAGAATTCAGAGTAGGCGGTATGCAAATGATTCATACATTCATAGTGTTAATCTATTTCATGGAACATGGTGGGGAAATTGTTGTAAAAGCCTCTGTATTTCGCTCCCAAAGGAAGAGGGAAAAGCCTTGTTGTCAGCAAAGCCAAGTCACTGATGCGCACTGCTCGTGTAAATCTGGATATCTATAACCAAGCATAGACAACTAGGCCTAGGCTCATGTTTCGTGTTTAAACCAGCTGTCTAAGGAAATTAAAATGACGCTCACTGATTAGTCGGTTTATCTGTCAATGAAATCTCATCGAGATGTTAATTAGATTACTAACGAAACGTTGAGACATTCTCGACAAAAACTATAGTTATTTCCAGAACTATGAACAGCGTGCACTGCAAGCATTCAATATACAGTTAAACTCGCCTAAGTCGACTTTGCATAACTCGAATAATTTCTAAGTCGAACTTATTTTACATGCCAGATTGTTGTGTTTTCCATTAATAAACAAATCTGTAAGTCGAACAATTTTTCAATGGCATTTTGGATTCAACTTAGGCAAGTTCAACTGAAGATTATTAACCTTTGACAAGTCTTGTCCACTGATCTCTACTATAATAGCTGGATTGCTAATTGGCTGATTTTAGTGAAGCCACCGATGCCATGTTATATATCAAATCATCTAACGACTTGACGAGACTGTTTATGCCATTTAAAAAAGCGCATGCGAAGTTAATTGCATTGCTAGTGATCGACGTCACTGTAAAAACGCGACTTCGTTCGGGCATTTGTAAACTGCATAAACAGTCGCGTCGTGTGCTTAGATGATTTGAATTTAAATTAAATTTATTATTGAAAAGAACTGCAATCGTTATTTTTTCACGATAATAATTTAAACATATGCCAAAAGAAACTTGTCTAAGCTGGTACGTCACCTAGGCCCTCCAACATGGCGTCGGTGTCTTCACTTTTTTTTGTACAATGATTGGCCGATGAGCAATCCAGCTACTATAGTACAGATCAGCGGTATACCGCAAGCATTAAATATAGATTGTTCACCTTTGACATTTCTCGTGATAGCAGTGCACAAAGCTGTGAAAGTGTTGTATTGCACTAGGTACTCTCTACCGGTGGGCGAATTGACAAGAGAGTAAAAGATCTGGTAGACATCATCCAGTATAGCAAGTCCACCATCTCCCTCACATAAGGCACTGGAATAAAATGGACAATATATATTCAGGATTGTAGACAATTAGAGTTTTGTCTGTCAGACTTACAAGACAATGTCTTATCAGATTTTTTTAATGGTGTATAACAGCAATAAAGTACAAATAAGTCTTGTATGTCAGATTGAAGAGATAATGTCTTATCAGACTTTAATGGTGTATTACAGCAACAAAGTACAAATAAGTCAACTCAAGAGACAAAAACATCTTATCAGACTTTAAATTGTGTGTCAAAGCAACCAAGCACAAATCTTATAAGAATTTTTCAAATAAAAGTAGCGATTGATTAGTAGTTATTGATTTGTTGAATATTAAGTTGATTGAACTCTTGTACAAACTATACAGCTTTTCGGATTTTGGGGGTTATTGTTGGATTAGAGTAATATGTTGCCTCAATGGGTGAACATGAAATGAAAAGCTCAAGACATTCATATTTTGAATATAAATTTAGGGATAATGTGGCATTTTTAAAAATCTTATTTATATTATAGAGGGTAACCCTTCCAGCGTACAGTATCCTAGAATTTCAGCTGATAATCAGAGGTCCTCTTAATAAATAAATCAAATAATGTGATGCTTTATCAGCGAAGTCTCATTACAAGGCTTAGGAAGTGGAGATGTTTTTTAGTCGTGAGAAAAAAATCATGTGCTGTCTCAGGACTCGAACCTAGGACTCTGGGAATTTGTAGGCAAGCATCTTAACCACCAAGCTACATCTCCACAACAATTTTACCATTAACTGTTCACATTTCTTTTTAAGCTCTGATGAGGAGCTCTAGAAACACTAGGCTGATTGGTTAATAGATATTTTTTTAGCCCTACTGCCTCTATTATACTGCCCTCATGAGGCTGATTGATCAATAGATTTTTTTTAGCTCTATTGCTTCTTCCAGAGCCGCATAAACTTTCTTTTATTATTCTGTTGATGAGGACAATTCAATTATGGGATTTTAATATATCCTATCGCGTTAGTTTGTGGCTCGCCAATGTTTTGTTTTGGTGACAACATGGCCGGTGTAAGTCATATGATTGCGATACACCCAATCACAACGCGCGTATAGCAGAATCCCTGAAACCGAGTTGGCCAAACTCTCTCTATCTGCGGCTCTGACTTCTTCTTTATTATACTGCCCTCATGAGGAGCTCTAGAAACACTCGGCTGATTGGTTAATAGTTGACTGATTAATAGATCTTTTTGATCTCTACTGCCTCTATTATACTGCCCTCATCAGAGCTTTTGAGATTACGAGAACTTGTTTAGACTCAAGCTTCTATTCTTACCTATTTCCTGTGATGATGTTATTAAACAATGGGATCTTGTTGAGCATCTCGGGGTGGAGGATGAACTGTTCGTCTGTACTGTAACATGCTAGCATTGTCAAGGCTATTGAATGGAAGGTGGTGACGTCACAGCCTGCTGTTGCCTCCTCTATCAAAATGACGATAATGAATAATTCAAGAACAGTAACAAGGCATCATAAAAAAAGGGATAAACTTAATAAAGTATGTTGTAGGATGGTTCACACTATTTTATCTTACGTATGACATTATCAGTGGCATATGTTAGCCTTGAGGCCTAGCCTAGCACCTGTCTCTTATACACATCTAGATAAAGTGGGGGCCTGTTAACTTGCAAAATAAGGTAATTTTAGGTGATTTTTAAATATTTGACCATGATTTTTTTTCGGAGAGATGGGGAGGGGAGGCACAATTAATTTTTCGATAGGCATACACCACTCCCACCCCCTAAACAAGATATGCCACCATTATCATGACATCATTAAACATCATACTTCACCAAAGAGTTTTTTTTACAGTATGCAAAGGACTATCAGCTTTATTATGCCCTATCCAGACCATCAAATGATGTTTGAAAAAAACATGTGACGACATGCCCAAAAAAAGGTCATGATGATATCACATCATGACCCCATATATAGATACATCATGACTATATATGGGCATAAAACAGATTGTTTTGGAACCAATATTTGTCAAAATTGTTTGCTCATAAAGGTTACCCATTAAATTTGATTATTCTCCTGAAGACTAATTAAACTCAATCAACTCAATCCAAACGTTGCGACATTCTCAACAAACAACAGTTCTTTTCAGAACTCTCTACATGGTGTACCGCAAGCATTTTTATATATATCATTCCTTTGCCATGCAAACCTTCGAACAATAAATTTGATTACAAGTTCTGAAAAATAGATATTTTCCACGAGTAGTGTGTGATTATGACATCATCGTACCCACGGGCAAATCATGTGCAGATCGTCTGTAACAACACACGCGCAAATCATGTGCAGATCGTCTGTAACACCCGCATTTACTAATATAATGAAGCTACTAAATGTTAATGAACACAATTTGAAATACGGGGAAATAAGATTTTTATGAATATGAAAAAACACTCATAAAATTGTAATTGTTTGAAAATTAGCCTCGCATTTAGTTCAGTTTTTAGTGAGCTAGATGCATCAAGACTATAAAAAGCAGAAATTTCGACCGTCGTCTTATACTTGAAAAAAATCGTCCAAAAATTTTCTCAAACTCATGGGTTGTTTTATACGCGGGGTTTCCTTATATGCAAGTACAGTATATACTGTATTCAACCGGTGAATACAAAAAATATAAATATTTTAGCATAGCACTCTGCAAATTTGCAGGAAATCCAATAATTAATCTAACATTCTTTATGCAGTGAAGTAGCCAATGCAAATGATAGCAAATATAAAGCGAATTAAGACATTACTTGTGTTTAGCAGTCGGTTGAGAAAAGAGAATCCAACGGCATGAAAGATTTGATTTCGAGTCTCAGCGGTTGTTGATTCTGCCTGTACAAGTTTAGTAATCTGCAAAATAAAACATAAATAGGAAAAACATCCTGGTTATATTCCTTGGCAATGTTAACTGGGTTACAGTGCATTGAAACTAAATTGGTTCCAGAACTTTGACTTCTTTCTGCTGTTTCAAGAAAAAGTGCATTGGGGTTATGGCCATTAAAAGAACGAAGAGACCGAAGAGATATGATCGAAGATTTTAAGATCATCCATGGTTTTGAAAACATTGATTATAGTTGTTTTACACTTTCACATACTTTACAAAGATCACACAATATTTTTGATCATACATATAAGATTCTTAAACCAAGACACAACACTATTTTTCGACACCAGGGTCATTGACAAATGGAACTGCCTACCCGAGCATGTTGTCAGTAGTATATCATTAAATCAAAAACTGCGACTGACACATTCAAAACTTCAGAGGCAGCAATCTTAAACTCCCTGCCTCCTTATAATCACTATGGTAAGAATCACTAAGGTAAGAATCAATTCAGTTCAATTTATTCCACTCAATTCAATCCATGAAATACAAAACATAATATGAGTGACGATCGTAATAAAAAAGCAAAGCATATTTATAATACAAATTAGACCTGTTAAGCTAGAAAAAAGACTTTAATATCTAGGCCTACAATGTTGTAGGTGCAAAGGTGCAAACTTCAGCGCAAATTTGACAATGCAGCTTTAAACTTGCCCCATGTCTTGGGAAACTTAACCATACAAAGGTAAGGGTACTGGTAGGCAGGTTGTTCACACTTCTAAAATTGTTACGAATTCCTAATTCTGATTGAATGTTATTCCTAAAAAAAAATTATATCAACAACAAAGCAAAATGTTAATAAAAATCTATTTTCTCATCTCCTTACCAACAAAAGAGCTGCAAACTTTTCTGTGTCTGATGATGCTGATTTTATCATATGAAGACATTTTTGTACCGCTGGATCGTCTATTTGAGAAACAGCAATGCTCTCATCTGGTATTTCACCTCCGGTTGCCATTGTACAATTCTGAAGCCGACAATGATCACTTTCCCTGTTACGCTATTTACCAAAACCACCACACTGGGCTTAGCCTTGAGGCCTAGCCTAGCACTGCAGTCAAGATGAGGGCCTAGGCCTAGTGATTTACTATTTTTTAGCAAAGTAAGTCTTTGTTATAGCTTCAAATGAGTTCTAGAAAGTACATAAGGCACAAGATAAAATAGATAAGGAAGAACAGAAAAACCCCAACAGACGTCAATCTGTAAAAATCCATTAAAATTAGTAAAATTTGTAACAGGATTATCCCGATTATAAACTTTGCCCAGCCGCGTTGCGGTAGTAGTAGCGCGGCGGGCGGAGAGACGACGACCTGGAAGAGCAGCCTGCCAAATGAAATGGGAGCTTCCAGCCTCTATTTTTATTTCTTTTAAATAAACATTAGTGTACCAGATATTGCTTAAAGTATTGAAATCATTACAATTATTTTTTAAATATTAAACAATATTATTGTGGAAGGCTAATTCAGGAGTCAGCATTAACAATACAAATATTATTATTTTTAGCTGAATAACCCTATTGTATTTAGTCGACGAATCTATTATTTTCAAGGTCTCAGCTCTTGGTGCGGAATTTTCGCGGACTCTTTAAAACCTCTGGTGTGTGTGGTGAGTTGTTTTAGTTAAATCATGAAATAATTCTTGATGTTTAATTATAGTGTTAGTAATTAATCTTGGGAAGACATAGGACCTAGGCCTACATTTCAATAATACCTAATTAAGTAAAAAATTGCATACATTACAACACTAGGCCCTCCTAGGCTTAGACTAAGTAAGGAAGGTGAACCACGACCACGTCTCGAGACCACTTGTTTAATTGTGTTTGTTAGGCCTAGGGCCTAGGCCTATTCTGACCAGGCCTAGGTGTCAAATCAAATCCTGTTGGAAAACCTAATGAACAAACACTTTTGAGGGAGGGAGAGAGATATAATAAATTTTTATTTCATGTGGTAAAGGTGAAGGGTAAAAACCTCAAAATATAATTCATAATATAATGATCAAAAAAAGCATAAAGTTGTGCCCATTCAAAAATTACTAGGCCTAGGCCTAATTCCAGTTTCTATCAGAGTTTATTCAGTTCAGCGAAATCAGTAGTTCAAACTTTTTCTACTTTTTGCGAATCAAAAAAATTGTGCAGCCAATCAGAGCTCAGGCAGCGAACCGATGCTTTTGATTCACGCGAACGAAGATGCCTAGTGTAATACCGGCATAGGTAAGCTGAGCTCCTCGTCAAATCATACGCTGGAGTTTTGCCGGAGGAGCTTATACCTGATTAATTATGGTAGTACTTTTATATTTAGGATTTTAACCCATGACCATGTAGGTCTTCAGGTGAGGACCTTAAAATTGTACACTATTTTTTCTATAAATAAAAAAGTGACATATTCATAAAGACTGATGAAAAGGTAACCTGTTCTGGAATGGCATCAGTGGCTTCTGAAAGATCAGATACTTCTGCAGATGACTACTGTTCTCTCTCCGAAGATGATGTCAGTGATGTCTTTCCCAAGTCACCAAAATTCTCAACTGCAGTCTCATCAAAACCAGCTCCACCTAGAGACTTCCTCTTTCCATTTACTCCTTATGACATCCAGAAGGAATTCATGAGTCATCTGTATCTTGCACTGGATGAGGGAAAAATAGGAATATTTGAAAGTCCAACTGGAACGGTAAGCCAATAATGATAATAACAAAAAATATTACAGTTAAATAGACCTTACAAAAAAATAGTCAAAATGTTTGATGCTATCTTTCGCTACCACCCTAAAACATCAAAGATATCACTACAAAATCAAGTTTGAGCCACTCTTTTTTGAATTACAAATTGGTGGTGCCACACAAAAAAATCACTAAAAAAATGTTACAGATTAGAATGGCTGTAGTACAATTCACACTTGCTTATGTTTAGAGCGTGCCCTCACTAATAACGATCGTGAGTGCTGTGGAAATGAACAGGCGTTCTGGGGCATACCGTAGGCTGGTTTTAACCTTGTGGGGGTGGGGTCGTGGTGCAAAAATGTACCGAAACTAAATCCCTATTCCATTCAAATGAAAATTTATTGGTCCTTTTTTAGTAATTTAACCCACTTTAATCAAACTAATTTTTCACCATGGGGATACACAGCTTCCCCTCCCTCATACCTCCTTGATTCTGTCAAATATCCACTTCCTAATTATTCAGAATAATTCTATAATTGTTATTATAGAATAACTAGGAATTATCTTCATTATTTTACTTTTTTAGGGCAAGTCCCTGAGCCTGATATGTGGCGCTATTACCTGGCTACGTGACTTTGAGGAAAAGAAAAAGCAGGAGTTCCAAGATATCCTTGATAAATCTGCAACACTTGAAACATCTAGGTGGGTTTAATAGTCACATGACCTAACTTGGGTATGTCATGTGAAATTTGGTGGCTAAATCGGTCACGTCACATGATCCATGTAACGACTCAACAAATAAAGTTATGGCGACTTTAAGTTGCTTGATGTTGAATAATTTTAAGTGCAAGTAAACTATTCCAAAATGCTGGGAGGTTAAATATGGTAATTATCATAATGGTTTTCTATATGCCTCAAAAGACACTGGCGAAGGTATTGATATTTTCAAGAACTGACTTTGGGAATTCAAATCTGATTTTTTACACACTAGTTTTTTTTTTAATGCATTGCAAGTAAACAGGATCAATATGATAGGCCCTCATCTTGAGGCGAGGTGGGTGGCTGAGCGGTTAAGGCAGGGGCGTTGCAACCTACAGCCATAATATTGGCGCTGGTTCGAACAGCTCGCATGCTTTAGATTTTGGTGTTGGAACAAGTCTTTTCGTATAATGACTATGAACGGTAGGCCCAGTGTACGTAATTTGGCTCATGTTCACTTCAAAGAACCCGGTATGTCTTTCGAGACAAGTAGGGAGTTACCCCGGTGTACTGGTTCATACAACCCCTGTTGTGGACAGATGAATGAAGCTGGTACCAATCCACACTTAGTGCGATTTGAGGCTGTTTCAGTATAAAGCGCTATATAAATCTAACTACATTACATTATATCCTAATTGAATTCTTTTTTACTTGAATTAAGTGATATGGATAGCACATTCACCCCAACTACGCCCCTTGTTGCATCAACACCGACTGAACCGGATTGGTTCCTGGAATTTGATGAAAAGAAAGCTCTCAGTGAAAAGGCTGAGAAGATCCGGGTAAGAGGTTTCAAATAGTCAGTGATGTGTCCATTTGTGTGCTCTTATTAAGTGATCCTTCCCCTTCCTAGAGTTGTAGCTGTAGAAATCTAAGGGTGGGTCGTAGGCATTTTATGGGTGGGTGATAAAATTGGTAAACTTCAATAAATGTCAGTGAATGGCTATGAAATTAGCTTTAGACTGGGTGAAAACTTGAAGGTGGGGGTGTTACTGTTCACCTCCGCCCACCATAACTATATCCCTGCCTTCCTCTGCTTGAGTACACCCTAAAATTGATATAAATGTGCTCTAATCGCCAAACAGTATAAAAAGCATAAATGTATTTGAAGATTTAAAGATTGATTTAACCATTTACAAATAATAATAATAATATTATGGATTTTTTAGCTCAACACTTCCACCCAAAATTTGTATGCTAAAGTCGAG